ACATCCGACGTCCACTCAACCTCCAGATCACGTCAATATCGCGTCGGTCGGTCGTGACCTTTTATTCACGTCCAAACGACGTCTGTGCAAGGTGCGCATCTGGACGTAAAACAATGACCTCCCATATACGTGGATATGACGTTCAATCCCGACCTCCCCTAGACGTCGAGAACAGGTCATCGGCCGTCCGACGCAGTACGTCGTGATCTAGCAATACAATATATAGGCTGTGAAGCAATGCAAGTGTACCTGACGGTAGTGTAGTGGTTACAGTAAGCAAATGTGTGCAGCCTTGGTGACGTGAGTTCGAGCCCACGTGTGTGTGTTATTATCTTTACATATTTGTTTTGATTTTTAACGAACAATTTTTTTCTGTTTGGTTAAAGACTAATAAACACTCAACATAGGATTACGTAGTGGCTAATAATAAAACTTGTGAATGTATGCATTTGTTGTGCTAACAATCTCAAGTTTGCAAATAAGGGGTGAGCACTTGAGATTTTATGCAAATGCATGGGTTCACAAGTTTTATTATTAGCCACTACATAATCTTATGTTGAGTGTTTATTCGTTTTTAACCAAACAGAAAAATTGTTCGCTAAAAAGTGAAAAGTCAAAAAAATTCCGACGGGGATGTGAACCCGCGTCGATGCGACTGAAGTCTCATTACGCAACCGCTACACCACCGCCATGCATGCTTTCTGGCTATTGGGAAAAAATAATACATAACACCCTAAACAACCGACGCACACTTATGCGAGGTTACAGCCCGACACGTGAGTCGCTCGGTCGAGGACCTGTTTTCCACGTCTAAACGACGTAAGGTGTGCATCTGGACGTAAAGCAATGCCTTCCCAGACGTTGATATGACGTTGAATCTGTACCTCTGTCGCTGCCCTGCTTTATTTACTTGGAATCACCCTCTCTAGTAAGTACACAGTCTGCACAGTTTTTAGATATAGATGTATCATTTCCACATTGAAAAGAGTTGGAGACAGAAAGTAAGTCGTTTTCTCACGTATACGTGGATTTTGTTAAGTATATTTTGTATATTATCTGTATTTTGAATTGCCAGTGCATGAATCTATAATAATAACGGCTGGCACTGCTCAGCTGAAAGGGAGACACCTTTTTTTAGTTTTTAAGTTAAAGTTTAAAATATGATATTGTTTTTCATATTTCAAACTATTTTTAACACATTAGAATTCTTAGGTTAGACTGTCCAACAAACTATGTGTTAAAAAAGGTTAAGATTCTTGAGTTTTAAAATAATAATTCAATTCCAAAATGTAAAGTTACTGTATATTTCACAATGGTTTATAAACTGCAAAAAGACAACAGTACTTAGTAAACTAAGTTTAAAAACAGGGAGATCAGCTTTAATATTTGGGACACTCCCATCATTTAGACACCTGTGATGTCATCAGTTGGAGTTGAGTTCAGGTGTGGGACCATGTGGGACCATGTGGGACCATAGGAGCACACAGATGTTACCTGCTGCAGAAAGACAGTTTAATGTTCATGTATTGCTTTGTTTAATAAATGGATTGAATGTCTTCCCATTAAATCTTCAATGTCAGAGACTTTCACTTCTTCTCACTGTGGCTGTTTAAATGAGCCACTACAGTTGTTATTTTTGTTATTGTTAGCTGCAAATATTAAATATCCATTCATCTGCTGGTAGCAAGCTAACTAGCGCTTGCAACTCTATTCAATTTCTTACTTTTTCTTATAAACTTTAAAACCAGCCATATGTTAATTAAAATACATTTACCTTTGCTAATGCAGTCAATTATTGTGAAATCCATAGAGTATAATTTCATGATTGTTGCAATAACTAATGTTCTGTGTGTATTCCTAATGTGTCATGTGTGTTTGAGTCTTACAGGTGTCAGACTGTGTTGAAGGTGTTCAAAGGTAAGAATCACACTCTCACACATTGATTGTTCTTCTGTATTAATATGTTGTTTTTAGAATAAACCATTATTTGGTGTATTCTCTTTGAAAACATCTATCTTTTTCTCAGATTGTTCAGCAACTCACTCAAGATGAGGGAAAAGAGCAACAAGGGGAAAATGCCCCCTCGGAAATGCGACATGTGTAGAGTAATACAGGGTAAGTAGCTTTCAGGGCTCATTTGTGTCCATGTGCAAAACAAATGCACATTTGCAATTGTTTTTTACATGGAATTACTCCAATGACCAAAGCCTTATCCCAAGTTTCTCAGACTGAGTGTCTTCCAGTGTCTCGAGCTAGTGCAGTGCCAAGGTTTGTATCACATGGTGATGATCGAGTGGTTTGAGGCATTAATAGAAAGTTATGTGTTGTTATATCACTTTGCCACATTATGTTGAAACTAAACATGTTCCACATTTTCAGGTGCTGTGCTTGGACCTTGTGATGAAAGACTGAAGACCAAGAGAGGACACATGTTGGAACATCAACATTCAATAAATGCATTCTTCTGCCTTTCAGATTGTGTTTTTACATCTGGGGAACCTAGAGTGTAGCTTGTGCCTGTTTTAATACTGATCCAAACATAGGCGCTACAATCATGTTTTTTTACTTTGGCATGAACTGTTCAGTACAGTAGTGTTCATAACACTGTGCCCTGTGTGCTTTAACTTGTACTTTGATGTAGAGAAACATGATTTTTAATGCAGCTCCATTTGCAATAATGACTGATATCCTTCTACTACAGTTGTTCTAATGATTTTTGAATGCTGTGTTTATCGTTTATTGCCCAGAGTCAGAACTAAACATGATATAGCTGCATTTCAGATTCACAAGGCTAAAATCTGGAACGGTCTTCCTGGAAATGTGAGACAGGCTTCTTCTTTGACAATGTTAAAATCCAGGTTTAAAACACTTCTGTTTCTGCTTCAACTGAGAGATTTTATGAGAGATTTTATTTGTATCTTTTTAATTTACTGTCAATATTTATAATTGTAATGCCTTGTTTGATTGTTTCTATCTTTTGTTCAGTGCTTTGAGTTTCCTTTTGTTTTGACTGTGCTATACAAATAAACTTGCCTTGCCTATTGCAAAAAGTATGTCTCGACCAGTGAGTGATTCTGCAGAGGTTAAGTAGGTCAATAGGACTGTAAATGGACGTCATATAAACGTCAATATTTTGGTCATATAAGATGTCGAGAGGACGTCGGACCCGACCGGTTCTGTACCACATTGCAACCTTGAATGAACGTCCAGATAACGTCCAGATGACGTTGAAATGACATAGTTTTGACATCTGCTTGCTTAGTGGGAACAACGGAAAACGAACGTCATATGAAGGCAATATTTTGGTCATATAAGACGTTGATAGGACGTCGGACCCGACCGGTTCTGTACCACATTGCAACCTTAAATGAACGTCCAGATGACGTTGAAATTACGTTGTTTTGACATCTGCTTGCTTAGTGGGAACAACTGAAAACGAACGTCATATAAACGTCAATATTTTGGTCATATAAGACGTTGATAGGACGTCAGACCCGACCGGTTCTGTACCACATTCAAACCTTGAATTGACGTGCCATCAACGTAACATTTGGAGGTTGAGGTGACGTCGGGAAACGACGTCGAGAAAACTTTCATTCTGCACCCACCAGTGACCTATATTCTACGTCGGACAACGACGTTCAAATTACGTTGATTCAACGTCGGCTTGCTTAGTGGGATCATCATCATAATCATCATCGTCACCATCATCATCATCACCACCATCACCATCATCCTCATCATACATCACCACCATCATCATCACCATCATCACCACCATCATCATCATCATCATCATCACCATCATCATCACCACCATCATCATCATCATCACCATCATCACCACCATCACCATCATCATCATCACCATCATCATCACCACCATCATCATCACCTGCCCCTTATGAACCAATGTCTCTATGTGTCTTCATCGTTGCATTTCTTGTGTTTGAACGGTGTGATTTTTTGATCTGTGTTGGCAAATTCAACGGTTTTGTAAAGTCCTTTGAGATAACTGCTGTTGTGATTTAGGGTGATACAAGAATACAATGAACTGAATTGAACATTTCGTCCACTCTCCTCCTCTGGTTGAACTCTAGAAATGTCCTAATGTGCTTTTACTAACTTATTTGCATGAGAGATTGCGACAGATTCCCCTGAAATGGAACAACACGATCGACTTCCTATTGGAAACTTTGGCTGTCGGTTCTGGTCTGCAGTAAACAAACACGGCCGCAGCAGGAAGCAGAAACGCTGACGTCTCGTGCACTAATGTAAAGTCGATTGCGTCTTGATTGAAGCAAAACACGCGTGAGCCACGATCCAAGAGAACACACATCGACCCGCTTCCATCTGCAGCCACCATCACAGGCAGGAGGATAAAGCTGAGGGACCTGAGTTTATAACGACAATCAAACACCAAAGGTATTCTAGACGAGGCCCAGATCAGTTTGACATTCAGTTGCTTTGCCATTTGCAGTAAAACAACAACACCGCTCTCTCTCTGGTCTTTCTCTCTAGTTTCTCTCCGGTCTCTCTCTAGTTTCTCTGGCCTCTCTCTCTCTGGTCTTTTACTGGTCTCTCTCTGGACTCTCCCTGGTACCGATCAGGTCTATCTCTAGTCTCTCTCTGGTCTCACACTGGTCTCTTTCTCAGGTTTCTCACTCTGGTGTCTCTCTGGTTTCTCTCTGTTCTGGCTGTCTACTCTCTCTCTGGGGTCTTTCTCTCTAGTCTGGTCTGTCCCTGGTTTCCCTCTGGCCTCTCTCTGGTCTCTCTGATTTCTCTCTGCTCTCTCTCTCTGCTCTCTCCGTTCTCTCTCGCTCTGATCTCTCTCTCTGGTCTCTGGTCTGTATCTCTCTCTGGTCTCTCTCTAATGGTCCACTACATTAACTGTGTAATACAATCCATTGTTTCTAGCTCTAAAACAGCTTTCTTCTGCTCTAATTCTGAGTTTCACCTGGATCTGGATCTGGATCAGTTTGAAGCAGATTGGATCAGTT